CCTTCCAGCTCCATGTCGGTCTGGCTGATGTTTTTGCGCCAGGGCTCGAGGATCTCAAAGGTGTCAGACGCAGAGTCATGAGCTGAAGGCTCTTCCTCCCCCGGACGCTGGTGTGCCACAAGAGTTTGATGCATTCTTCGTAGATGAGGATGGGCGTCTTCACGACGTCTCGACTCCTCTCCTCGACAAGAACACTTCCACAGGTTCATGAATACCCGAAGGATGAAATGTTTCAAGCTGTGCTCTTTCTCTTGTAGGTTGCTGTGGACAGAATGCAAGAAGTTGAGGTCATCTTTGTTCTTCCGATATTCTTCCTTCAGTTTCCTGGGTGCAAACAGCAATGTCACACAGAGGGCAAAGCTGCGAAAGCAAATCAAAACCTGAGCTCGTCAGCCTTCTGATAGAATTCGAGCTGTTTGCTGTTGTGGAGAGAGAGCTCCAGGTCTTGATGGTTGTACGCGTCACGCAGCTCTGAAGTAGCTCTTTCGCGCTTGCTCGTGTAGTCCTGCAGGAAATGCGCATGATCTTGCGAAGAATCGTGAAGCTTCTTCTTCCACCATTGGATGGATGCTTTCGTCTTCCAGTTGAACCCGGAGACTGTTGCATGTCCTGCCGAGGAGGAGGAGAAATCGTAGTCCTCATGAAGCGATGTCAGCTGGTCAATGCTATAAGTCTTTTCTTTGATCTCCTTGGTTAGCCTTAAGATGCAGACCCTACACTTGTCATCTATCAGCTGCTGGATGCCTTGGCGATTTCGTATAACTTCGACAATAGATCCTAACAACGCATTCCTGTCTTTGTCGCTTGCAATTTCTTCAACATTCGGTACGTAACGCACTTGAGAAGCAGACGTGATTTCTTTGAGTTCTTGCTCTCTGTCATGTAGATTTGACGTAGGTATCACCTCTCTTGCTGTGTGAGGAAGTTCGAGCTCCAGGATCTGTTCTTGGCTCCTCTTCAGTTTGACAACATCGTCGGAGAGGTACCATGACAGTGTCGTCAAGTTGCACAGTTCTGATATTGTGGAGTTTGACATGTCAGAGTGAAGCAAGTTTGGATCTTTTAGGTGTGAGTGACAGGTTCCTAGTACATTCACCTTCTCCTCACCTTCCCGCCACCTTCATCCCTCGATTATGCGAAACCATGGCGGGGCTTGTGAACCACCAGGCAAGGGGCCTAATTCCGAAGTTCGCGGGGCACTTCGGATCGCCGCCGGGCAGTGAGAGGCCGGGCCCGCACCCGGGCGCGACCGGGGCCGCCCGGAGAATCATGGCCGGGCCACCCACTGCGGCCTCCGGCGCTGAGTGACGGACTAGAGTCGGGCCTGCTCAAGACTCTACTCTCCTGATTGTCCTCGTACTGATTTTTAACACCGTCGATGCTCACTGCCGGCCCGCCGGCATGCCGGGACCGGGCCGGGCCGGGCCGCGGGCGCCGGCGCCGCCCCCCGGCCCCCGGCCCGCCGCCGCCGCACTGCCGCTGAGTGCTTCAGGTGAAGTGTCAAAGATCGTTTTTGACGGTTACGATAGTTTGACTGATTTGACCCTGGATGGGTGGGTCCGTTTTCCTTAGCTGCAAAGGGTGGGGAGGTCGTCTCGGGACCGGTCCATTCCTAGTCATTTCGATAGGTACCAAATTATTTGTGCATGCGACCCCTCTTCCAGCGCTATTTCAGTGGGGTGGTAGTCGAGGGGGGTAGGGCTACCACTAGCGCTGAAAGGCCGCCTCTTGGACATGCTGAGATGAGAGAGCGGAGGAGCGACAGGTCAGGAGCAGAGGAGAGAGGAGAGGAGAGGAGCTCGTAGAGCTACAGGAGGAGGTAGGGACAAGACCGAGCCCTTGAAATCCTGCCTATCGATATCCTTCCTGATCTGATACAAGACCATGGCGATTGTAGTGCTAACGGCGGTCCTTTCCCTGATTGCGGCGTATGCAAACGCTCAGCAGACATGCCCGGGGGTGGAAGCGATTTACACTGGAAGTCCTGTCGGAGCTTTTATTTCAGCATCGATCTCGTGGAAGCAGTTGTATGGCAATACGGTGTCCTTTGAGATTCAAGGGATGTGGAGACGAAAGCATCAGTGGCCTTGCTCCTTGAAGACAGGTTTCAGCGGTCCAGACGGATATCCTGGACTGGGGGACCAACTTAAAGTGATGGGGTTGTCGGCTATCGATGACACCTCACCGGATCCAAGGATCATCACACCTGGCAAGATTGGAGCTTTCTTCAGCACAGGTACGCCACTATCGTCCTGTCTTTGGTCACTGACTGTTGCGATGCAGGAGATGGGAAGGATTATGAACTGCCGTTGAAGGTTGTCTCCTATTCTATTGAAGAAGACTGGATTTCCACCATTTCTGTTTTGGTGCACACTTATCCCGCTCCTTTCCAAACATTGCAAGAGATTTACCCTGCAAGTTATGTTGCGGTTTCAGGCCAACAAGACTTGACTCAGCCATATACAATCATTCCATGGAGAGCCACTCTTTCAGGATGCTGTCGTAGGTGGGCTGCTCAGACTACAAGCTTGAACTTTGCTGTTGGAGCAGAGGTAGATCTGAGTAATCAAATTTCTTCAGCCAGAATTGTCAGCATGCCTTACTGGACTATCACCCCGACCAAGAGGACGATCTCGGTCTGTGCTTTGTCTTTGACGGGGCAAATGGGTATGTTCCAGAAGAATGGAGGTACTTTGAACTGGCCTTTGGATGATAACATACCAGCGAGCTTTGAGTGGAGTATTCTGGGTTCGAGCCTTCCAGCCAAAATTGTGAGCGGGGCACAAACATCATGTGTAGTGATCGAGGTTGATCCTTTGGGAGTCAGTGCAGGAGAATTCATCCGCCTGCGGAATAAATTAGGCAATGCAGTATCGGAAGCTGAAATGGCAATAGCGGTAAAGGCGAACACTGAAGTTCCGGCAACGCCAGTCGCGACATCCACGAATCCTGTTCTTGACACAAGGATGTCCTGTCCTGCAAGTTCAAGTTGCATGAAGATTCTCAGCCTTGGCAAGTACTACGCCTGGTCTAAGATGAAATGGACAGCAGGAACTTGGACAAGCCCGCTCGAACTGAGGTATACAGTAGCTACTGCCTCCTCTCAAAGCCCTCTGGTTTCGACGTCGCAGTCTAGTGTTGTCTACAGCACCACCAAGGCCGGCGAGGACCATGCCTACCTCCCGCGGGGTTCCTGGCTGTCGCCTTACAACGATGCAGGGGAGTACGTGACAGACTTAGCGGTGACGTACACCTCTTCGACTACCAATGCGGACCCTTCTGCAGACCTTCCTATCTCTTATGGACAACGAGACTACTACGACCAGGGAAATCCTCTCCCAAACGTCTGGAATTCTGTTCCAAACAGCAATTTCAATGACGGGTTTGGTGGAGCACACGTCAACCTGTTTATCCAGAGAATGACGTCTCAGGCTGCAGCAGGGATCGTAGACCCTAAAATCATGGCAGCTATAACTTCAATCAAGCTCGCCAACGAATCTCAAGTAGCCGACTACTTGTACGAAGGATACATCAAGCTTGAGAGAAATCTGCTGCAGCAGAGCAACCGGGGGAGCATCTTCATCATGTACAAAAAGGGGTCTGGTCCTCCTGTCCTAGATATCTCGACATCGCCGGTCGTTGGGTACGTGAATGTGAACGCTTCGACGACAGTGGACGGAAGAAATCAAACAACAATCAACCTGTATGTAAAGTATAGTGACGACAAAAGCATCCAGAGGGCACTTATGTGGAGACCATGCACTTCGCAAAACGAGCCCGTCGTGATCTGTATCGCGACAGTTATCTCTGCAACAGGATTCGGAGATCAGCAATTCTGTGTTTATCTTGATGTCGTTCCCCTTCGAGCTCCAGCCATCACTCCAAACCTACCAGGGCCATATTCAGCTATCATGGGCGACCTGACAGAAATCACCTTGGCCATCGTTCGCAGGGATGAACCTATCTCCGGCCTCGACCAGGACCCAATTATCCAGTTCAGCTCAACGCATGGTTCGTTGCCTGAATTCAGGATGCAAGAAGCTCTCACCAGCGCCACCCCCGCTGTTCTACAACTTGTAATTATCATCTCAGTGACGTGTCGAAAAGTTCTGATGCCATCGCATTGCAGGTGGGTGCGGATAAGAAGACCCCGGGCCTTTCTCAAGTGCTCGGCAGTGGCGACAGCGTTGTGTACGACTCGTATGTCTCCTACTTCCAGTGGATCCCCTCGCCCTATCAAGGGGGTTGGAAGGGTTCGATCTGTGTGGAAGTGTGTCTCGAAGCCGGAAGCTGCCCGGCGACCCCCAACGTCTTCAGTCCCGTCTGCTCGACATTCTGCCTGGACATACTCGTGGAGAGATGTAAATGGGCACTGCAGTCGGAGGATTCCTTCGCCGAGATCGCTCCTCGCTTCCGGACCAACTGGCTGCAGGTCCTTCTGCCTCTTCGTACCCCGCGTTCCTCTGACTCGCAGCAGCTCTGGTACCTCAACCCCTTCTTCCAGCACCCCGACTACAGCGGAGTTTCGACACAAGCAGGGGCCGTGAAGGTGATCAACGTTGGTAGAGTGTACAGGGTGCAGATGGGAGATACGGTATGGTGTCTTGTCGCCTTCTCCTCGTTGCTCCGCTGACTCCACACCTCGCAGGTCAATTCCATCCTCGAGCGCTTCGGCGCTTCGCTGCAGAGCTTGATAAACTTGAATGCTGACGTCACCAACTCATCCATCCTTGCCAAGAAGGGAGAGTTGGCGCTGCAGGTGAAGCAAGAGCGCCAGCCCTCTTGTCTTGCCCGCTGACTTTGTTGAAGGAGTTGTGTATCATCCCTGATTCTTGCGCCGTGCTGGCGAGCTAGAGCGAGTCGTTTCCCTTGTCCCCATCACCGTGTAAATAGGTTGAATTTATTGTATGGCTAGTGCATGCAAGAGCCAATGAAAGAACAGCGTCTTGTTGCGATTGATAGGGTGAGCAGCTCTTTTACCGCCTCCTCCTCTCAATCTTCTCCCCGCGCCACCATGACATCTCTCTCTGCTCTACGTCGTGACTTCATTTTTGCACTGCACCTACTAAAAAAGCGCAAGTCACTCTGTCGGTTTCTTTTTTACTTTTTTTTAAGTTTTTCTCATTTTTTTTTAGTTGAACACTTTTACCACAATCGTGCTGTCGGGGAGGGTGCGAAATGCTGGGGCAAGGCGAAGAGGGCAGAGGGAGAGGGGAGGGAGAGGAGGGCGAGAGCAGAGGAAGAGGAACAGGGTAAGGAGGAGGAGGAGGAGAAGGAGGAGGAGGAGGAGGAGGAGGAGGGGAGGGATACGACAACAAGCATGAAGGTTCCTTGAGAATGAAGTGAAGTCATGTGGGCTGTTTCCGGGGTCTCCCTTCTCCTTCCGTTCTGCCTCCTCATCAGCTTCGACGTGCCCGCGTCGCATGGGCAGACCGAGAGGCAAGGATCTCGATCTGTGTGTGACGAGCCCTGCTTCGGAGGAAGGAACCTGTCCTGGTGGCTATCGACCTCCCTCAGGAGGAAACGTCTTCGCCCGACGCTGCCTTCGGTCAAAGTCAGGTGGCAGGTGGCAGGGTGGGATGCGAGGAGGAGGAACTATTACCCTGCTTTCCACGTGCGTGCTCCTTTCCTCGAGATCTACGAGCCGCAGATGGGACAGCTGTACGACTCTAATAGGACGCTGATCCGGTTCTTGTCCGGGAGATGGATGGAGGAGGAGGAGATGGTCGTGGTGCAGATCTTCGGTCCTCTGGGAGCTCACTTCGCCGCTCCTCTCGCCTCTCAGTTCGAGCTCGTTGTCTCGAGGAAGGAGGAGGGTGAGGACTTCAACCAGCTCCTGGTTGAGGTGAGAGGAGGAGGAGGAGGTGGAGGAGGAGGTGGTGGAGGAGGTGGAGGAGAGGAGGAAACTGATGGTCAGATTCCAGCCGCTAAAGGCTCGTGGAGAGTTTATTATTCGCTTCCTCCTTGTGAGAAGAAAGGTGATGATGATGATGATGATGACGATGACGATGATGATGAGGATGATGATGAGGATGAGGATGAGGATGAGGATGATGATGCAAGTTTGACATGGTGAGCGGCAGTATGAAGTCAAGGCAGAAAGCTGTCAGGAGGAAACCAACAAAACAAGAAACAGGCCATCTGGTGAGTTTATTTCGCTCTCTGAGTTGATCCTGTTGTGTTGACGTAGCTGTTTCTCACAGATCAAACTTGTAGCATCGCAGATGCTCCTCGTCCTCGCGCAATGGAGAGAAACGTGAGAAAGATTCTGAAAGCAATGTTTTGATTCCCGTCATGACAAGCATGACAATTCCTTGGACATCAATGCGAACAACTCGATGTCAAGATGTCAAGATCAGAATCGTTGCAGATCGACCGACGTCTTGACTATTCTCTTCTCTTCGCAGGTACTTGACTGCTCCCACATGAACGACAAGATCCAACTCCCGCGAGGTCACAACTGTGCCAGGGTTGATGCGGGTAGACAGGATGGCACATTCCAGGAGTGGGTTCAACTGACCAAGTTGCAACTTAGCTGGGGTGCTTGCTCGGTATGTGATGATCTCGGCAGAAGGGAAGACAGGAGTTGAATGGTGTATCGATGTGAGATGAAGGAGGTGGAGGTCGATGGAGATGAAGATGACCTTTACTTTAGGATGAGCGGGATTTTTGTTTCTGCTCTCCCTCCTCTCCTCTGCTCCAACAGCAGGTTGCTATCCTGCCCTGCCCTGTCCTCTGCTGTGCTGTGCTTTCCCTCTCCTCTATCCTCTCCTCCCCTCTCCTCCCCCCTCCTCCCCTCTCCTCTCCTCTTATTTCTATCCTCTATTGACTCCATATCAGCTCAACTACCAGCTCCAAACCTCGTCCATTCATCGTTTCGACCAATGGCCACCAATCTTCAACTTCTCCGTTAAGAAAGCACGAGAAGCTCCTCGCTTTCACTGGCGCGGCTTGCGAGGACCAGGAGCAGGAGCAGGAGAAGGGAAAGTAGCCAATCTGTCCGACCCAGATGAAAATGAGAGAGAAGACTTCATGGAGAACTACAGGGAGGAGGTCAGGCTGTTGTCGCTGAAGGTGAGGAGGAGGAGGATCCTGGTTGAGGTTTCACTCTACTTGAAGATTCAGGAGCTGAAGGAGGAGGAGGAGAGGATTCGGAGGGAGGAAGGAGAGAAGGGATGCGACGAGGACGAGCTGTGCCGGGGTTGGAGATTGACAGCAACGCACGGGGATAAGGACTCAGAAAGCCTCCATCAAGAGCTGTGGAAGATGCAGGTGAGTCAGCGAGGAGGAGCGAGGAGGGAAGAGAGAGAGAGAGAGAGAGAGAGAGAGAGAGAGAAAGGAAGGAGGAGGAGCCAGGAAGAGAAGGAGGAGGAGAGTGGAGAGGGCAGAGGGCAGACGGGAGAGAGGAGGAAGACGATTGGCAGTTCTGATCTTCACTTCTTTTCAGTATCCTCCCATCGGAGATCCACATGACTGGCGGCATTCGACGTCCTGCTTTAGTACTTCGCTCCTCTCCCCTTCTCTTCTTACCTCCTGTAGACAGCAGAATCCTCCGCCACTCCTTCAATGGCGCCATCTCCTCTGGTCTTGGAGCCCAGGTAAGAGGGAGGTCCAGAAGGATAACGAGAGGAGGAGGAGGAGGAGGAGGAGAGGAGGAGGAGGAGGGGAGGAGGAAAAAGCGGTGGTGGTGGTGGTGGTGGTGGTGGTGGTGGTGGTGGTGGTTGGACAATGACATGTATCTGTCAGTTGCACTACATGACAGCTGCCCTTTCTTTTGCATTTCGCATACGCAGAATCCTCACAACGGCTCGACACGATCACTGGAACTATGCAAGAGGCGACTGCTATGACGGTGAGAGGCGGGAGGGAGGAAGAGAGGTAGGAGGAGAGACGGAGATCAGAAAGACGAGGACGAGGATGAGGGCGAGAACGAGGACCAGGAGGACCAGGAGGACCAGGAGGACCAGGAGGACCAGGAGGACCAGGAGGAGGTGGTAGTGACGCCTTGGGACAGGATGGGAGTGCTTTTTCCAGCCAATCTCATCATGTCATGACGACATCATCGACATGACAGGGACGGTGGGGCTGGAGGTGGGGAAGGGAGGGGGAGAGGGGGGGCAACAAGTTGTAAACATCTTCTTCGGGGACGGGGTCGGCAACTGTGAGAATCAGCAGCTCAGGGAGAATTCGGAGATCCTGAGCAAAGAAAACTCTCTCTACGTCCCCCCAAGGTCTCCTGCTCCTGCTCCTGCTCCTGCTCCCGCTCCAGCTCTGTCTTCTCGATCGTCTAGCAGCTGCTGCCGCTTCTTTCACCCCTTCCTTTCCTCCTCCTCCGCTCTCCCCTCCTTTTATTCTCCCACAGGTATTTTCATCGCGGTCTCCTCTGGTGGAGGTCACAGTTGACTCGCTTCCTCTTTCGTCCCAACCGTCGAGCTCGTCACTTCATTCACTTCACCAAGTCAAGAATCGGCTGGCCCGCCTTCTACCGCGGGCAGCAGGAGCAGCAGCGGGAGCAGCGGGAGCAGCGGGAGCAGCGGGAGCAGAAAGTGGAGGGGGAGGAGCTGGAGCAGGAGGAGAGTAAGAGCGAGCCCATCGTTGGGGTGCATGTGAGGAGGGGAGATAAGCTTCTTGGCATCGACGGCTACCACGCAAGCTTCATCGACCTCTCCTCCTATCGAGCCGCCGCTCGTCGCCTGTACCCGCATGCATGCTGCCTCTTCCTTGCCACTGACGATCCAGACGTGGTTGAGCAGGTGACTGCTCGTTCCAATCACCCTCCTCCTCTGCCTCTCTTCCTGCCCCTTCTCTCTTGCTCGTCCCTCCTTCCTCCTCCTACTCGCTTAATTCTTTTTGCCCTTCGCTCTGCCCCTCATTTCCACGTCCACTCTGATCCAACTTCGTTTCATTCGCCTCTGCTCCTGCTCCTGCTCCAGTTCCTGCTCCTGCTCCTGCTCCTGCTCCTGCTCCTGCTCCTGCTCCTGCTCCTGCTCCTGCTCCTGCTCCTGCTCCTGCTCCTGCTCCTGCTCCTGCTCCTGCTCCTGCTCCTGCTCCTGCTCCTGCTCCTGCTCCTGTTCCTGCCCCTCCCAGTCCTCCACCACTTCTCACGTCGACTGAGCAGGCGAGGGATGAAGTGGCAGAGGAGGAAGAGCTATGGCTGCTGGACTGGGAGGAGGAGCGGCACAACGGCACCGGAACCCTTCTCAGCTTTGCTGGGGCCCCATGGATCGCGTCCCTGCACTGCTCCAGCTGGGGGGTGACCAACACGTCGAGATGTGCCATGGAGAGCATCGCCACCATCTCCCTTCTCGGGTGAGCGGCACACCCCCGCTCCTCCCTTGCTCCTGCTGCTGCCGCCGCCGCCCTCCCGCTCCCGCTCCCGCTCCCGCTCCCGCTCCCGCTCCCGCTCCCGCTCCATATCTTCGTCTTTCTTCTCCCCCCTCCTCAGCCTCAGGATCACTCTCTCCTCCCTTTTTTCTCTTGCCCCGTGTCTGTGTAGTTTTTGCCCATCTCCTGCCTCCTGCCTCCTGCCTCCTGCCTCCTGCCTCCTGCCTCCTGCCTCCTGCCTCCTGCCTCCTGCCTCCTGCCTCCTGCCTCCTGCCTCCTGCCTCCTCCTGCTCGGTTTTACTCTCATCCTCTTCATCAGGGAATGCGACGCCATCGTCGGCACCTCCTCGAGCAACCTGATGCGTCTCGCTTTCCAGCTCCAGTTCGCCCGCAGGTGAACCGATTCACCATCCCCTCATGCTGAAAGTCCCGCAGAAGCAACGCTTCTGCTGCTCTCTCCCTCGACAACCCGGAGAGGTCTCTGCTCCTGCCTCCCCTACTCCTCGTCCTGCTGCTGCTGCTGCTGCTGCTGCTACACTTTTCCCCTCCTGCACTCGCTCGAGGAACCTCGATGAACCTGTCGTTCTCTTCCTCGCATATTTCCCCTCTTCCTCCCCCCACTTTCTCCTTCTGGTTGCCATCTGAAAGGCTGCAGGGGATACGAATACGCCGAGACTCATTGCAAGTTTCCTCCCTGCCCTAACTTTTGGTTCCCTGGACCTTGAACTGATCCCTCCCCCTCCCCCTCCCCCGAAGTCTCCCTCTTCCTCCCTCTTTCGCCCCCTCCCTCCCCTCCTCCTACCTATCCCCCTCTCCTCCCCTCCATCCCATCCCTTGGATATCATATCTTTTATACACAGATCAGCACAGCCCTTGCACGTCTAGATAAGAGGCCCCTGATACTCAAGGAGCGATCCCTTCAAGTAGTACCTGCAGAGACGTCAGCCAACGAGAAACGAGGAGGGCAGGGAAGAGGAGTGAAGGAGAAGGAAGGAGAGGGGGGAAGTGAAGAGGCGACGAGGAGGGGAGAGAAATGGAGGAAGTGAGAGAAGGTGGCTGAAAGTTGGGATAGAGACGCAAACAAAGGGAAGGGGAAGAAGAGAGGATGGGAGGCAAGAGGAAGAGGAAGGGAGGAGGAATGAAAGGGAGGGAAGAGAAAGAGGAAGGGCAAGGCAGGGGAGTAGAAGGAAGAGGAGGGGAGGATAGAGGAGGAGGCAGGCACAGACCAGCATCCCTGCCTTCCCTTGGCGTTGCTTCTCTCCAGCACGCTTCTCTCCCAGAACTCTACCAACTTCGACCTGTTGCCCTCTCAGCGCCTCAACCTCCTCATCCTCCTCCTCGTCGTCATCACCATCAACAATCATCGTCCTCTATAACATCTCCGTTGCCATCATCACCATCACCATCATCACCATCACCATCATCATCAGCAGCACCATCATCGTTTCTCACCCGGGGCCCAACATCCTTGCTCGGAACTGGACGTATGCTCTATCCTTCTCTGTGAACCTGCAGGATGGTGTGACTTCCCTCGCTCCCTTCTCATAAATCCTTCTCTCCTCTCCTCTCCCCTCCTGCCTTCTCCCCTCCTCTCCTCTCGCCCCATCCTCCTCTCCTCTCGCCCCATCCTCCTCTCCTCTCGCTCCATCCTCCTCTTCTCTTCTCCTCTCCCACTCACTGGCATTCCTCCACGTTGACTCCCAGAATTTCTCCACCGTTGGTCTGGAAGCTGTATCTGAAGGGGAGGTAAGGGAGAGAGCAGACCGAGGAGAAAGAACGAGGGGAAGACGGAGGAGGAGGAGCGAAAAGGAGGAGGAGCGAAAAGGAGGAGGAGCGAAAAGGAGGAGGAGGAGGAGGAGGAGGAGGAGGAGGAGGGTTGGCATGGACGAGGAAGAAATTTTCTCACGATTGGCAGAAGTCAATGAGCTCGCGACGCCACATGGCCTGACAAGCTCGTTAGAAACAAGACCATCATCCCCCAACAGTCAACTCTCCCTGTCCCTCCTCCCTCTCTATCTCTCCCTGCGCGGATCCTCCTCCTCCTCCTCCTCCTCTTCCTCCTCCTCTATCATGTTCCTCTTAATGCCACCACCACTACAGTCCTATGACACCTCAAAATCTCATCACAAAATCCTCCACACTCTCCTACCAACTCTACCCGCTCCTACTCTTTGTCCCATCCTCATCTTACACATCGATCGTCACCTGGTTCGTGTTGTACTCTGGACTCTTTCGTGCAGTTGTTCGCATCAGGAAGTCTAGAGGAAATTCAAGATCAGCAAGACAAAAGAGAAAAGAGCGAGACGATCTGAAGGAGGAAGAGGAGGAGGGAGAAGAGGAGGAGGATGGGGGGGTAGCACTGGTACCAGGAAGGCAGTAGGCAAATGCGGAGTAACGTGCTCGGATTAGCTCAACCTGAAGAAACGTCAGAGGTCAACGAGGATGAGGATGAGGATGAGGATGAGGATGAGGATGAGGAGGAGGAGGAGGAGGAGGAGGACGAAAGTAAGGGAGATAGGAGCAGGAGCAGGAAGAGAGAGAAAGAGAGGAGCAGCAGAGGGACTGAACTCACCGGGTCAAGGGGAGGATTCTCGCTAGAGTGCCATCTACCACCTGGCCGAACACTTCGATCAGACGAGAAAAGTGGACAAGGATGACAAGAACAAGGAGGGGAGGGGGGGAGGAGGAGGGGAGGGGGGGAGGAATAGGAGCAAGAGAAAGTGGAGGAGCAGGGGGAGCAGGAGCAGGATGAGGAGCAGGATGAGAAGAAACGACTTACAGCATCTCTCATACATGAACCCGGACCCGCATGCACAAGGAGTTGTGCGGGGGTTAACGGGAACTCGATTCTGCACTACGAGGTACTTCAAGTCCGGGGAAACTTCCGTGTTAGCTGCAGTGACGTCAGTCTGCAGCTGACGGCAGCATGAGAGTCAGTATAGCTATCAAGCTCACCTTGCATGCGAAGGCTGGCAGGTCTTCTCCTCGACAGAGAGGAAGCAATGCTTCTTGAGTCCACGGCGTTGGGAGCCTGAGGGAGAGAGCAAAGCTCAGGACTAGGGAGGTTGAGCAGAGCAGAGCAGAGCAGAGCAGAGGCGAGCAGAGGAGGTTGAACGAAGAAGGATGGGAAGAGAAGAGACTTCGGAAGTGGGAAGAAGGAAGACTAGAGGACAAGGCTAGAGCGAGGATCACCTTGCCCCGTAGCTGGAAGGAGGGCTGGAGGTGGTAAGCGTCTACTGCAGAGACGAGGATTACACACACGAGGAGCAGGTGTCCCTGTCCTGGTCTTTGGAGCCAGTTGCTGTGGGTCATTGTCGTGGGATACAAGCTGCCACAAAATTAGTCGGGAGGAGTAGGAAAAGGTCGTGCAACGAGCTTCATGTTGGGAGGAGGCCAGGAGGGGGGGGGGGGCTGTAGAGGGGAGGGACAGCAAGGTTCAAATTTTCTGAACTTTTAGGCAGGACATTTCCAATCGCATTACTACCTCAACGTGTGAATTCATGTTGTTCATCACCATTTCGCTGTCTTTGTTTGCTTTTTCCTCCCTTTCCCCTACCACTACATCCAAGGATTTTACTCCACCATCTTCCAATTCCCGTCCTGACTCGTTCATTACCGTCGTTTTTCAGGTCTCCATTGTTTCCCTTTCCCTCTATCACATGCGCGCTATCTACTACGTTCACTTCTTCCATTGGACTCTTATCCTTGTCTATTCTAGGTCCTCGTCCTCGTCCTCGCAAATTCTTGCACCTTCTCACTCAACTTCTCGTCCTCGTTCCCTCTTCGTCCTTCCTCCAGCTCATCCTCCCCATCTTACTCCTCGTCCTCGTCCTCATCCTTGTCCTCGCTCTCATCTTCCTCCTCCTCCTTCTCCTCCTCGTCCTCCTCCTCGTCGTCGTCCTTCCCTCATCTTGCGCATTGCTCTAGCACACAAGGCCTTCCAAACGAATCACAGAGAAATCTCACTATCGATTAACAGAGATTTACACGATGTCACAGAGAAGCCCAAATCACGATTAACAGAGAATGACTCTGAATCACACGCTGTCACACATTTTCGCGTAAGCCCTAGCTGTAAAGAGAATCTCTCTGCCTTCCCCACGGTTTATGTCACAACCCATAGGGCTGGGGGTCCGGGGAGGGAGGGAAGGGGTGAGGGCATGGGGCCGAGAGTTTAAAGACAGAATTAGAAAATCGGATAGGAAGGGGCCGGGGGGTTGGTGTTGAGCCTTGAAGGTGTGATCGGGGGAAAGGACATAGCGGGGAGGAGGGGCAGACATTCATGAGTCCCAAAGAAGTGGGAGACACCCGTGAGTTCGTTTTACAGTAGCAAGGGTCAGAAATCTCCCTCAGTCACTACTACCGTAGCAGCGCGAGTCACAAAAATTCTCTTTCGGGCGGCGCAAACTCCTCCCGGCTCACGATGCTTTTAGCCTCCACCGCCAGACGCGTTGAAGTTGATCAGTACTACTGAAAAACTGAAAAAGTTTGTACCACCGCGGGGGGGTACATTTTGCTTCCGCAGTTTAGCCGTGAGTGGCCGCGCTCGGAGTCGCCCAGGGCCCGTCCGCCCCGCCCGGGCCCGTACTATCATCGGAGCGGCCGGGCCGGTCTGGGCCGGGCGGCGGACCGGGCAACTGTGCAAACAAAAAGGTCAAGATGACAACCCGGCGGTGTAGTAGTGAGATGACAGTGAGTATCAAGAGGCAGGGGGCATGAGGCAACAAACAAGCAGTGCTAGTTCAGCTACAGCTGAGCAGCACTATCGGGACTAGCTAGACCACTGGCAGTCTGAGGTGAAGAGAGGCTCTGGACTATGATGATGATGGTGATGATGGTGATGATCATTTGTAAGGTTCAGTGAGACAGATCATGAGAGCCTTAGGGAGGAGATTCCGATAGTGAAGCAACTGTGATTTGATTGTGTTACATACTTATCTGTGATTTGACCTGGGTCTGCGGAGGCTCGTTTTCAGCAGCTTCCTTGGAATGTGTGATGGATAATTGATTCTTCTCATCAGGGAGTTGTTTTGATCTGGGACAAACAGTAGAATGCGGCGTTCATATTTCTTCTCCTTCATTCAATTGAACATGGGTATCATCTCGCTGTCATTCTATGTCTTCCTAGGAGCTGTAGCTCGACGATTCTTCCCCCTGCAGATATTGACAGTGGCTGGACAAAAAGAAGTCAAGTGGACAAGTATGAACTTCGTTGACGTTGTCCTTGTGGTGAGCATAGAACATTCTGTCCTGCACCTGTTCCCTTTGTGACGAGGCCACCTTTCCACAGATTGAGTCGTTCATGATGATCTTGGCTGCGCTCATATTTCTTGGGAGGGAGACATTTTGCCTTTCTAAAACTTTGGCCGAGACGACGAGTGCGAACCACGTGTTTCTGGGATCGAACAAAGTTGCCATGCTCCTGGGCTTCGCATGCGAGGCTGTCGCATTTGTGGCTTCATGCATCGGACTGGCAATGGCGTGTATTACACTCAATTCGGTATGCCCTAATTGGAGAAATCATCATAGAGCAGGCAAGCTTTGACCATCATGGTTGTAGGTTGTCGGTAAGAGCTGTCTGTCAGCGAGAACTGTGGAATTTTCGTGTGGAGGTATCGCAAGTTTGTCCCTGTGACATCTTCATGTCTGTGATTTTCGATTGCAGTCGAGGCGCCAGTGGACGACACGCTTCCCACATGTATCTTGGTGAGGCTGCAGCAATGGCTGGCATCCCTATTCTTGATCTACTATCTCTTCTCGGGGGGGACGTCGGCCACGATGATGTACTATTATCAGAGGAATTTCGAGAAAGTGACAGAGGCATAAAATTTACAAAGATGGCACTCGATCGCACTTGCCAAGAAAACACAATGTACAACGCAGAATGCCCTTGATTTGCAGGCTCAGAGAAGACGAGTAAGGAGCGGTCAAGCTCTCATAGTCTGCGATAGGGTTCGCTCTCGTTGCCAGACGTAAGGCCTGGCTGAGTGCTTCCACTTTGAGCAAGCCTCGCCTCCATCTCCTCCACCTGGCGGGCAGGAGTCAGGATCGTGTCAACCGCTGCTCTAACCCACTCACCCCGTTCAATCTCCCCGAAAAGATTCGCCACGGTCCTTTCAAAATGGACGTGCCCGGAAGGTTCAGACCCTCTAGACGCTCAGAAATTTGCTGTCTACATTTTTGACATAAGGACGAGTCGAACAAGGAGCAAACTTTGTCACCTGAATCTGAATATCGTGTAGATTACCGCCGCAGTAAAGCATAACCAGAACAGCGTCGACCAAAAACTGCAAGGGAGACCCAAACTCCAACACTCTTCATCCGGCATGAATGCAGCATCGACTCTTCAAGCCGAACATGTCACATACCAAGAATATCTTTCTTGTCGATCTCACCTCACACGCAGCAAGATATGCAAATTCGTTTCGGGGTTCGGTGTGATCACAGCGATCGTGTAAGGAACGTACTGCTCCTTCCCGTCCACCTTCATGTTGTGCCCTCGGCATTCTTTGGTCTGCAGCGACATGCAATTCACCCACTTGTTCAGTGCTGAATCTTCTTTGCATGGCTCGGCACTTGCATCGCGGGCCAACAACTTTTGGTAGTTGATCTCATCGTAGATGGATACCTATAACAGCATGATTCAGAGGAACAATATCATGGTAAGCAGCTCCAGCACGAACCATGAATGGAACCTTGACAGTATCGGATTTGTCGATATGCAACACCCGAATATCCCATCCATCTGATTCAGTCAGAGGAGCCGAGAGGTTGTACATTCCGCGGCTTTCGGCTGAGAGGACCAGACGGTTGGGGCAGAAGTCATCAACATTGTCACCACATGGCTGCGGGCATTGAGGGGTAGCCGGCACACTCCTGCATCTGCTGCGCTCCACAAAAAGGCATACAAAGAATAAAACCGAAGCTGCAGACTGACATTTGTACATCTTTGCACAACCTGCCACTGACGGTAAGAGAGCATCGTGATCAGTCTTCTTGCATAAGAAAACTTGGCTTTCTCCATGAATTGCTGCCCTCTATGACCAACCATGCATTGACATGATCTCTTTGAATCTTTCCATCCATTCTTGGTTCTTATCTGCTCATCTTCAGCGATGTACCCTCTCAATCAATGGCTAACTATCGTCTCGCGAACTTACATAAAACCATGCTTCATCTGACCTTTTTCCTTCCCTCTCTCTTCTCCTCTCCCTTCATGAAATCTTCCCCTTTCTTCTTCCCTCTCTCTTCTCCTCTCCCTTCATGCAATCTTCCCCTTTCTTCTTCCCTCTCTCCTCTCTTCTCCTCTCCGTGCGATCTTTCTATCTCTTCCTCCCCTCTACGCCTCTTCCACCAGCCATCACCATACACCAGACGGAAATCTCAGCAAACCTTCACTGCTCATTCGTATTCCGATGGGGGCTTTCTGATAAAAGAATTTCGAAAACATTCCCCGACAATTTTGAATATCTCAATGATAACTACATATACCAATGAAAAATATTTGGAAATGGCACGGAATTTGTACACGTGCTCCGATAGGCTGTATGTGTAAGCAACCGTTACATTTGTCATAACCGCCTTACACCAGGGCAGGTGGGGCCCGCCGGGCCCGCGCCGCCGGCCCCCCGGACTTGCTAACTTAACAGCTTCACTGACGGTTTCGACTGTCGGAGGCCCGGCCGGCATGTCCCGAGGCATCATGGCATCTGACTAGGTCACAGAACTCCGCGAGGCCGAGCGCCGACTATGTGCATAGCCTTCCATGCAGCCTGAGGGTCACCGGGAGGGCGAGTCAGGCACTGCTATCTTAGTGATCGCTGTACCTGATGCTCATCCTGCCCGACGGTCGGCTCCTCCTTGGTCATGGTGTAGACATCCCACAGCTGCTTCAGCATCACAGGAGGCATCCAACGTCCCCCGCCACTCACAGCTCTGCACATCTGATCGAAGTCGTTGACCCAGGCACTGACGTCGAACAGCGGGGACCATCTGGACGGCTGTGAGAGGAGAAGGAGGAGGAGGAGGAGGAGGAGAAGGAGGAGGAGAAGGAGGAGCAAGCGCTGGAGCATGAGCAGGAGGAGCATGAGAAGTAGAAAGAGCAGCAGGAGTAAAAAGGGGAGGACGAGGAAGAGGAGGAGGAGGAGGAGGTAGATAGTGAGGAGGGGGAGGAGGGGGAGGGGGAGGAGGGGGAGGAGGAAGATAGGGAGGAGGACGAGGAGGACGAGGAGGACGAGGAAGATAGGGAGGAGGTAGATAGTGAAGAGGAGGAGGAGAAGGAGGAGGAAGAGGAGGAGGAGGTGGATAGGGAGGAGGAGGGACAAGGGGAAGCTGTTCACATGATCCTCCGAAGAAGCTTTGTCTTGAGCTTGTCGACAGCTCTTCCCCCCAGCGCTTCCGAGCTCTCTTCTCTCGCAAACCTGTGAGCAAGCTGGTTCAAAGTCAGTGCTCCTTAAAATGCTACAAGAATGAACGGAGATTGAGCAGAAAGTCGAAGGGGGAAGAATGACGACAAGGACGAGGACGACGAAGGGATAGAGGGAGAGGGCGACGACAGGCGAGGACGAGGACGAGGACGAGGACGAGGAGAACGGCCAACCTTGAAGTATTCGTCGTGGTCTCGGACGATGAGCTCCTGCAGTCGAAGGGCTCTGAGCATGCTCGACATCATCCGACCGATGGGCTTCGTGGATGGAAGGTGGAGGATGGGTACCCCAGCGAAGAGCGTGTCTGCTCCAGTCGCGCCAGAGTTGTAGTTGGGCGTGTCCTGCTCGAAAGGTTAGGAGGAGGAGGAGCAGCGAAAAAGAGGAGGAGGAGGAGGAGGAGGAGGAGGAGGAGGAGGAGGAGGAGGAGGAGGAGGAGGAGGAGGAGGAGGAGGAGGAGGAGGAGGAGGAGGAGGAGGAGGACGGTCACGTAGTCGGTACCAC